TTTGAATAAAGTTTTTAATAAATAAATTAAAATATCGATCAGTCGATCACAATTTTTTGGGCAAATCACGGGCGATGCAAGGAGTTTTATTAAAATAAAATCAGCCCAACAACCTTTTTCAGTTGTACTATTTTTCTGATGAATAATTTGAAATTGAAGAAAATAATGATCATAAAAGCATGAGATTCATCATGAATCTATATCAATGTAATGTTGTTTTCAAAAATCAAGGAATCTAAAGTGACATAGAACTCATGTACTGCACAGTCAATATGAACTACTCAGTCGATTATCTTCTCCCATGAGAAGGTTAGATCGAGGTATATTATGAATACCAAAGTTTTGCTAAAGAATATACAAGTCCATGTGGATGGCATGTATCAAAGATTTGATAATGGCTCATGAATCTCTATATATGCTCTCTAAAATCCCAAAAACGTAAAATGATGCAAAGCTCAGAATCACAGTCAAACCACAAAAAATCCTAGAACACACATATGCATGACGCAAAGCACACAATCCAATATGTTAGCACTCCAACAGTGAATTAAAAAATTGAGTCTCATTCATTATACCTGAAACTTTGTTAAACAATCCCTCCTATCTTTTAATGACACAGCACGAAGCAATCATGGGATAATAATGCATGTGATCTTGTTGCTGAGTGAATTGAAGACTGCAAGCAATTGCTTGCTTAATTAGGCTTGAGCTTTTTTGTTTTTCACAACCTAAAACTTTAGCTTGCTCAAAATGTCCCCTTGTTCCAGATTAACCCAAACTACTAAATGCCATATAGACTAAACATAACAAGAAAGATAAGAATTTTGCTGTCAATGAAATATAAAAATATTTAACTCTCAAAATTCATAGAACCAAATCATGACATATGGCCAGTAGAGAATTCTACGACCTTATATGTAGAATTCACTTCAACAGGACTACCAGCTGTGTTGTTAGGGCCAAAGTGCATGTCATTGAAACATTTTACACTCAAAAGTCAAGCAACACTAAAACCTCCTAAAAGTGTTTCATGAGTGCTTTACTGTGGTAAGCAGCCTATGATCATGTGACCATACCTGTTGTTGAGTATGGACCAGGACAACAATGGTTCAAGAATTCCAGTTGCTGCATATATTCGGGCTTCAAAAGCATTACTTGTCATCAAGGATCAAAATGTCGTGTCGACACGTCCGAAACGTCCGAAACGTTTCGGAATTTCAACACTCCGAAACGAAACAGTAGTTGAATCACAAAATTTCAGTGTTTCGGTCGAAACGGTACTGTTTCGGACCGTTTCGGTTGAAACGGCATTGTTTCGAACCGTTTCGATCGAAACAGTACCGTTTCGACAAAACAGTGATATATTCGGTTCATTATGAATAATTATATTTAATACCCATTATAATTACATTTAATACCCACTGTAATTACATTTAATACTCACTATAATTATATTTAATATCCCACTATAATTACATTTAATTTCCACTGCTCTTCTGTCTTTTATAATTTTTTTGTTATAAGAATAAATAATTACACTTAATACCCTACTATAATTATATTTAATACCCATTATAATTATATTTAATACATACTGTAATTATATTTAATACCTCACTGCTGTGCAAGTTTTTTGCTTTTTTTTTTTTGTTATAAGTATTAACAATTACATTTAATACCCTAATGTAATTATATTTAATACCTACTGTAATTACATTTAATACCCATTACAATTACATTTAATTTTTAAGTATACATAAGTATCATTAATTTAATTTGATACCCTTCATTATTAGTATTATAATAAAATAGTATTATTAATTGGATTATATTACCGTAATAATATGATTTGGAGTAACTATTGTCATCATATTTATGTCACATATGGAGTTTCTCTAAGTAGCTATCCAGAGCCTACACCGATGTATGAGTCTGCTCGACACTCCACAGGGGAATGGATGTAACCATGTAAGTATGTACTCATTAGCATTTCATGTGTATTATAAGACCTTAATATTATGTAAAAATGTGTTTATTTCATAAAAATTAAGTGTTTGAAACTAATTTAAGTGACTTTCGCCTCAAGTCAAGCCTTTTTTTCCCTCAAATTTAAATTTATTCTTGTATAAATTGATGTTAACCTAATAAATATGTTGAATTAATAAATTATTTAGCATATCTTTATAAATTAATGGATTGCATTTGTGTTTCTATGCGTTTCCATATTTTTTCTGCGTTTCTATTGCGTTTCCGAAATGTTTCCGAAACGTTTCTATTTTTGAGTTGACCGAAACGGTACTTCGAAACGAAATTTTGATCCTTGCTTGTCATCAAGCTGTACCTTGTCGTCAAGAAATAGTCACATAAACATGCAAGAAAACAAACCTGTCTGCCCTACGAAGGTATGCACATATGTCCTCTCTTTCCAAAGCCCTAAAGTTTTTTTACTGGAACTTGCATTACTATTGACAACAAATCCACATCAGTCATCCATATCCAAAGCATAATTTGGTAACTGTAAGAAATCTTAAGCAATATTGATCATTGAGATCATAGGGAAGATACTTAAGAACTTTAAGGTTCATGACAAAAATGAGAAGCAATGAAAAAGTTTTTTGCAAATTAAGGTCCACCTGTTACAAGTTCCTCTGTAGGTAATTTCACAATTGCTTAGATTGCTGCCTTAAGCCTCCATAAGTTCCAACAGGTTGGCGTTTCCTCCAGCATCTTAATGTACTACAATCAATAGAGAATATCTAAATTGACATCAAAATTTTAAAAACAAAAAAAATTAAGTAATTGGGAGCAAAGGAGTAGTATACCTGACGATGAGTGGACAAACCCAAGCACAAAAATGCAGACAAAAAAGACTCACAAAAAAGAAATTTCAGCTTAAAAAGTATTTAGTTACATTAAGTTCAACTTTGAGATCATTAACTAAGCCGATATATCAATTCAAAAGTTGGCATTTTTAAAAAAGTTCAAAAAAGATGATATTCATTCCATATTAAACCAGACACCTAGTCAAGAACCTAGGCATTATGAACAAAGATGAGATGCTCCAAATGGATCAGTAAACACTCTCTTTCTGCATGATAAGACTGCTCCAAGTCCTTTAATTTATCTTGAATAATTTCACCGCCCAGTGTGTCATGGATGAGATTTGTAAGGCCAAAATTAACGTAACTACAAACCTATACAATGAAGATCATAATTCTACACGTAAACAATTTCATGCATAAATTTTAGGTTTTATCAGAAGTTGTACATTGGATTAGAATATTCTTTGACAGACACATGGATGAGATTAAAAAATTCCATGCATAAATTGCAGGTTTTATCAAAAGTTGTACATTGAATTAGTATATTCTTCCACGTGTCTGTCACTCGCACTATCTTATTTCAAGTTTTTGACTCCCTCTCTCTCTCTCTCTCTCTCTCTCTCTCTCTCTCTCTCTCTCTCTCTCTCTCTCCACCCCCTCCCTCCCAACAACAAAATAAATAAATTAATACAATTTGTTCCCACAACAAAAAATGCATCATAATTTTCACAGACATAGAAACATTGGTAGCATTAATTAAAATGTTTCCTGAAAATTACAAAATTAGTAATGGTTCCTGAAAATTACAAAATTAGTACCCAACTTAGTAATTCATCCAATTTCAATACTCCAACTTTCTTCCTAATAAAAAATATATAGACAACATGCACACCAGGTACAACAGATAATTGACAACATCAAAGAGGCAAAGTAATTTTCCTCTCATGATCTAACTCGCTATATTAGAGTCACTAGAATCCAATACAAAATATGAATAACTGAAATGTTAGTCTTAGGATTTCGAAAGACCTTAAAGACAATGTCTAATATATTATGTAACCACCAAAGAAAAAATATTGTTCAAATAACATTTAACTTTTGATGACCGTCCATAATTTATAACCTTAACAGTGGAGGTGGCAAAAGGGGGGTCGGGGCGGGTTCATAACAACTTGGGTGCAACACGGGTCCAATCCATTTTTAACCCGTTTTATAAATGAGCTACAACTTATAACAAATTGGATCATGGGTTTAGAAAATCATATTTTGTTTATAGAGAGAAAAGCTCCAATTTCTCTCTAGAATTTTCAATGCATGAGAATGACACAACTAGCTTGAATCCACCAAAGCCACCTGATATGACCTTTTCTTCTCTATTTTCTCAAGCTCCTACACAGTCTATTCTTTCTACAATTGTTCCTCCGATAATGATTCCGGTTAAAAAGCCAGTTTTCAATAATGGTGAGCCATCTCTGTATTGGACCAAGGAGGAGATTCAATCTACATGTCTTCCATTTCAACACGCTTTGTTTGGCAAATGTTCTTATGGGAGGCCATCTTTGGGGGTAATTCACGAGTACATAAACTCGAAGTGGGCGATTAAAGGAGAGTTTTATGTTACAAATATTGATCCTAGGCATATTGCCATTTGTTTTTCTTTATTTGAAGACTATGTCCGAACATGGGTGAAGGACGCTATATATATTGAGGGCCATCTGTTCAGGTTCTTTAAGTGGCCACCAGATTTTACTTCTGGCATTGAACCAGCAGTTGTTACAATGTGGATCTCTTTACAAGCGCTGCCTTTCAATCTGTTTACTAAAGAATGCCTTACTTCTATTCTAAGCCCAATTGGTAAGATTCTTGCTATAGATGAGGCCACTTTAATTTAACAAGGCTTAGTGCTGACCATGCATGTGTAGAAGTTAATTTATTAACAGATAATCCGTAGAGGATTTGGCTGGATCAAAGGGGTTATAAATGGGGCTGGCAAAAAATTCAATATAAGAAAAGGTGTAAGTATTGTAGGAATTGCTTTAAAAGCAAGGTCATGAAGAGGTAGAATGTATAAAAAGAATTTTCTCCTTAGGATGATGGAGGGGTTGTTGTAAGGGAGGATAAAAAGGAGGGGAAAGAGGTGATCCATATGATTGTACTGAAACCTGAGGCTGGACAAAGGAAAACGTACTACCAGAAAACAGTTCAAGGCGAGTCAAGTAAAGTCCAGAAAAGTGATAATATCAACGGATAAACAGGAGGTTAACCATAATCATGGCCAAAAGGAGGGGTTGCAGATAAATCAAGAGAGTAGGGAATCTGATGACTTGCAATTGAAGGAAAAATCGAGGGTATGTAACAGCCTCACTCTGGTGGAGCCTAGGAGTATGGAAAAGATGAGATCTTTGGGCCAAAAGGCGAAGGCAGAGAAGAGCAGTAGAGAAAAGTTTGCAAATGGAGGATGAAACTCAAAAACTCATCAGGATAATTACTCTCTCCCAGATAATTGCAAAGTTGCATCTCCTTTGCCCGTTTGTAATTTGAATGAACAAAGTTTTTCTACAGTAATGTTTCAGGAGATTATGAGAAACACCCATAAAGCTTTGTGTTCTAATAAGGTCAAGGCGAGGGATGATATCGGTCTTCATAACCCAAAAGATGATCCTCCAAATTGGGGCTATTATTCAGATGGGGAATCTCTCCTCTCTCATGTGTTGGAAGGTTGGGAGGTATTCAAGGAGCTTAGCAAGGAATTAAAGAAAAATTTTGAGAGAGGAAAAAGATCAATAAGGGCTTCTCTGGTGCCTTCTTCAATAGCGCCACATCAGTTTCTTCTCATGTTCTATGAAAAAAAATTATGGGGCTGGCTCCAAAAGGATCCTAAGATCATGAGCAAATCACAGCACTTCCCGTATATCATAAATCTCTTGGTCATATATGGAATCCAAACTGTCATTCTGCCAATTAGCATGCTCGTCAACTAAGTAGAAGTGCAAAAGTAAATAATGAATTTAACAATCTAACATGTCACAAATTTAAACCACCACTCTAAAACATGATCTAGTTTTCGAGTGATGTAAAGGAATAACTTGCAAAAACAAAATCAGTAATAAGATTTGACCTCTTGATATCGCAATGCAACACATGGTGCCTGTCACAGTGTTCAAGCCCCGACAATCTTTCCAATTTAACTTCTCAACATACTTAGTATTGCTCAATATCTAAAACAACAATTTTGTTGACAACAACCAATTTTCTCAAGAGCTTTTTTTTGGGTAAATAACCAAAATCAATTGTGGTCATTTTAAGTTGCCAAGGTCTGGTGGTCATAAATTTCAAAAAACATCTACTACATTAGAGCATGCCAACACTAGCTTGAGTCCTCAAAAAAGTAAATACCTTTTGGAATGCAACACATTGTCGAGATTATAAAAGAAAGAAATCCAAAGGCAGCTATTGGTGATACCTGAAGACAATGGTATGAGCTGGTTTGCGTCCACTGCTTGAATTATAGAAATCCAAAAGCAGTTCCCTGGAGCAAAAAAATTCAGCAACAACTCTATACTATAAATTGTGTGGGCAATACCTTGTTATTGAAATTCCATTGTCCATTATGTGGGAAGCAATCTTCACTGTTACCAACCTTCAACTGCAGATTGAAAGAAAATTCGATTTTAAGAGCACACTCAATTCTTATCTTATTGTTCAGTGTAGTGATACCTGTATTGTAAGGAAAACTGCAAAACCGCGTAAAGAAAGTCAACCTCTACTTTGGGTGCCTCTAGGACCCGACCATCAACTTGGGTGAGTTGTTACATGCCACAAGCAGCAAGGAGGGGATCATCATCATGGTAGTTTCCCATAGCCTGCCAAACTGAGTGATCAGTAAAATGCAATATTACAAACTACAAGAGCAAGCATTTACGTGGAAGAAGATTTATATCAATTACAACTCTTATTCTCTCCCGAGGCTTTTGCCTACACTTTTCAACTAAAGATGTTCTATGCACTGAAGATAATGCCTTTGTATAAAGTTGAACAGACAAAAGAGAACAAAGCTGGAATATAGGAAAGAAAACAACATCAGCATCTGTTCTAGAGAAGGACACTGAGGTATTATACATAAAGAAAATTGGGCCAACCCAGAAATTCTAGTGAGAGAATTATGCACACCTCCAGCGGCAGATATTTTGGCTGTTTTGGTTTACCAGCATCAAGGCAATGCATACATGCAGAATAAGTTCAATATTCCGATGTTTGGAAAAATACTTGTATTCCATAATCTCTGTAGTCTGTCCTCCATCATAGGCACCATCACTGTTTTTCACTTTCAGTGGGAAACTTGTAAGGCAACAGTAAAACAAATAAATGATTCAGACGACTTACAATGAAAATTAGAAATTTTATGGCATAAAAAAGCACTTACAAGAGCTGATTGCAAGGCTTGTCACTCAAACCAATGATCTTGAACTCCCTGTTGTGTCTTGTCTTAATTCTTATGTTTTTTAGCATTCTTTTGGCCTGTACATGACACAATATTTAACTATATACATGAAATAACAACAAAAATGAGATCCACTGTGCAATTAAACAGTTAGTTTACCTTTGCCCAGTCAATGTAACAAGGTTCACAAGCGTTCTGGTTAGCTAGCAGAAAATCAATAACAGATCCAGGCGTCAGATCATAGTTGTAGATACATCTGCCCAAAGAAATCAAAGCTACATTAATCGCCAGAAAGTGACAGCAAAATCACATTGGCACAGTGAGATGGAGAAAAAAAAAATGATGATTATACCCATATTAAGTGACAAACCACCATGAGTTGAACGAAAGCTGGAACGGAACCCCCAACACCTAGTGAACACCTCCTCCAACATCAGTGAAGTTCCTTAAGTTGTCATGAAAGAATGACCGTCTTACCAAAAGAGAACCCCTGCATTCAATATCCAAATTACATAATATGTAAGTAAGCAGCATTGAAGAAACTAGAAACCTCAAAAGAAACCTTGAAAGGAGAAATTTCCAAGTACCAAATAGTTGCTTGCTGTCCTAATATAACATCAAGCACCTTTAGTGCATCTTGAACATTGTCTGGATCAGCTCCTTGGAGGGAAAGAGAAATGGACTACAAAAGTATTTTAGCAGCATAGCTGATCTCGACTTTAAAATTTTTTATTGTAAAGAATGCTTTGACCTTTTACCAGACTCACTGGGGCTCCCATTGTGAGGAGGACTCCCACTACCACCAAGGCAGAATATACTTTAAGTCTTGGAAATTATGCAACACACGTAAGTACTTGAAAAAAAATAAAGAAAGGACATACTGCTTTGCAAAAGATTCCTGAAGAACCACCATGAATTCAAAATTGTTCTCTGGAAGAGGCCCCAATGTATACAGATTCTTATCTCCATCATACGCAAATCTGTTCCGAACATATTTGTTTCTACATATTTCACCTTCTGAAGTTTCCTTTTTTGCTAGCATTTTATTCCACATAAGCCGAGGCATTGTCTATTCAATCTTTTAAACGAAACGAAAGGCTAAATACCGCTAGTTATTCAATGAGCCAGTCTGGATTTCCAATTACAATGGCCTGTGATTTGTATGGAAACACATTCTATTTCGATGATTATATTTGAACAATTTTTAGCATCATATCATGATTTCTATGGGATTTTATCTAGAGTTTAATGACCAAAATAAAAAATAAATAAAAAACAGCTACAAAAATTGAGATCCCTCAGTACTTCACTAGTTAAGTTCCATGAATGAATTCACCAGACTTCCAATCTTTTACCGCTATATGCGTACAAATCAAGTTAAGGTTCTATTAATAAATTTCTATATGGATTAATCTAAAATACCCAGCAAAAAAAAAAATTGAGCATAAAAAATTCAATACCTTGAAATCCAGA